GTATTAATTCATGGAAAATTCATTTCCAGTTTGGCATTCAGTTGACACAAATATCATGATTAGAATTCAACGTTAACACATAGCGGGGAAGACAAAACCACTTTTGGTACCTTTCTTTAGGCATATAGTCATAGCGATGGCATTATCATGTGCACACAGTCATTTTATTCATCATAATCACATTGTCATGTGTACCGGTAAACATTTATTCTTCACAATGGCATCATCATCATCATGTGCACACATTTATATTTACATTATAGTCATGTGTACACATTTATTCCCCACAATCACATTGTCAAAAGTGTACACATTTATTCACCACAATCACATTATTGTCAAAAGTGTACACATTTATTCCCCCACAATCACATTGTCAAAAGTGTACACATTTATTCCCTACAATCACATTGTCACATGCACATATTCGGTCGCTTTTAAGGACAAGCGGTCTAACCCAGATTTGAGGGGTTTCCAGAAATCTTGACCAACACCAAGAGTGGGCATTAATTACCCTACCTATAGGAGAAGTTTGGTTTTATTGGTGTGTATATTTGTTTGGTTACAGAAAAAACTCTCCCTTGTCTTTTAAAGAAACCGAACAAGGGCCAAAAACTTTCACTTCAATTTTCTCACAACAGCATTTTCCGGGATAGCCCCATTGTGCTTAAAAGCGACCATTTATTCCCCACAATGAAATTGCCACATGTACACATTTATTCACCACAACCACACTGGTTGACACACTGGTTGAATTGAACTTATAAAAAAAACCCAGTCCTTTCTATACACAGATATTCTTCAACATATATCGATTATCACTGTCCACATGTTCAAGCCACATCAAACTGCCCAATATACATCCAGTACTGTACATTTGTACAAACTGAAACAAAATTTGAATTTAAATACATAAGAACAATTTGAGCTGTAAAAATACAAATCACACGTCTGTGAATGAAACAAATGCACTATAATAATTATGTGTAAGACCACGTAATACACACATGAAATGCTTTCTACCCGTGAGACAGTCAGCCTCAGTAGTTTAGTTTTAGTTAGTGTTTTACGGCACTTGCAACACAATAAGGTCATACAAGTTCCGAAGATTAGAGGTGTTACAAGAGAGTAACAAACACAAAAAAGAAGGAGAGGAGGGGAGATAAAGAAGATAGCCGTTTGATAGGAAAGAAGAAGCAAACAACACCAGAGCACCCGCCAACCACCCACTGCAGGTATGTATTTTTACATATTATATATGTGTAATACTGAGAAATAACAATATGATGGGATGAAGGGCAGAGACAAAAGAGGGGACCCTCTAAAGGAGGGAGGCAGTGAAGACAGCCCTGAAGTGTGACAGGTGGGACATTTGTGGATGGCTGTGCTCCGCAGGAAGCAACGAGTAAGTAAGTACGTACTGTATGTCACGGGGGAACAGCTGAGAGCACGACGGATGGAAGAGAAGCACAAAGCTCTCAACATTCAACTCTGACAACGTAACAACATGGCAAACATGGCTATATTATATTGATAAGACAGAAATGTAACAAACACTCAGCAAACATTGATACACATAGCCACACACATGTTATGTAAACCCAAAAAAGACCTGAGGAGCGGCAAACTAAGAATAGAATGCCAAAAAATGCAGTATGCTTAAGACAGATAACACAGAACAGATAGATGTTGTTGTTGTTGTTATCGATCCAGCAACAGCTCGGCTCTTGCCCTTCTGTCCAACGCCATGTAAAACAGCATAGATAGATCAGCTATTTCTGAGTCCATCTTTCCGAGTAAATGTATACCAGTCAGTGGTACTCAAAAAGCACATAGAGACACTCATGGCCCCATGCATGCAGACGCTAAAACTCATTTCAAAAATCAAACTGACACAATCTCTCACTAACGTAATATGCATAGTAGAGCCGACGGATAAACAGATGTGACCTGAGCTCACTACGGCTCTGTGTCGCTCTCTACATCAAAGACATCACACATATACATATAAAGTGACACATCACACGATTCGACACAGACAGTAACGGAATCATGGACAACTTGACTAGAATGTTCCGTCACTGCCAGCGTTCTTAGCGTCATGATCTCTCAACCCTCCACACACGGACACACATCCACGAATAAATAACAAACCCATCCACATGTTAACAAAATCCACACCCACATGAAAACAGACATACTGCGTATAAAGACAAACAGCAAGGAGATAAAAGACAGTCTATTGGAAAAGCTCATCAAATAATAAAACCGTACAAGAAGTCTTTTATCAATGCGATGTCATCTTGATATAGAATCATCTGTAACGACCGGATCAGCACTGTGTTAAACAGTCTTACTGAGCAGCACCAGCCTTCCTACTTGCATGACGTCATCAGGATAGAGTTTGTTTTAGTAGAGGTTTTTACAGCGATCGCAACTGCATTAGGTCATATGAGCGCCAAGGGGTGGATGTCAACAGAGAAGCCTTTACAGGGAATCAGACTTACTCTGCTCACCTCTCTTGCTTCAACAGCACAAAGTCTGCTTCGACTATCAGGGCACCCTGGAAATAGCAGGTCACAAGAGTGTGACAAACATGCAAAAAAAGTAGAGGAAAAATGACAATAGCAAGGATTCAGAAAGAAAAAGCAGCAGTTCCCTGTTGCAATTCAGGCACAGTTATGAGCATGACATTGATAAATCAGCCCATTTACAACTCTACAGTGCGTTAGAACATGGTTAATATTCCCGCCTTTGGGAATGGCCTAAAGACACTTCAGTCAGTGGCACTGCATCGGGGG